ACGGAAGCAACAGCATAAGCTGGAGCTCCCAAGTTGGTAGTACCCTCTGCAGATGTGGTGCTTACAGTGAAGGCACCTGCAAGAGTAGTGGTGGCTTCAGCGTTGGCAGATGAAGACGACTTAACAGCAGACTTAACGGCGTAAGCTGGAGCACCCAAGTTCGTAGTACCCTCGCTAGAAGTAGTGCTTACAGTGAGCGCACCTGCAAGAGTAGTGGTGCCTTGAGAAGAACCAGTGGTTCTAACAGTGTAAGCAGCAGCAAGTGTGGTAGTGTCTTGGGCTTTGACAACAGAAGTAACAGCGTAGGCTGGCGCACCAAGGTTAGTGGTAGATGATGTCTCTGAAGATGCCTTTGAAGTTGTCTTAACAGTGTAGGCTGGTTTGTCAACTGCGGTAGTCTTCACAGTTTGTACTGGGGCTGCATTAGTGATCAAACAGTTTCCTTCTTCGATACAATTGGCTACTGTTGTAGTTGCTGCTGTAGAGCATGAGACAGTACCAGTTGGTTCAGTTGGTAAGCCACAAGCAGCCAAAGCAGATGAAGCATATGGTCCGTAGTTGTTCCATAGAGTCCAACCACACTCCAAACAAGCAGCGTAGTTTCTCATCAAGTTGGAATTTGAAGAACACAGACAGTCTGTGTCATATGGACCAGCGTATGGATTAGTTGTGTTTGATGTGCATTGTGTACCGCCGATGATCATTAAGTTACAGGAGGTACGGCAAGCGGAAGTCGCACAAGTACCTTCGTCTGATATAGCAAGAGCAGCTGGCTCTGGAAGTGCAGCTGCTAGTGTTGAAAGTGTTAAAACAGCAGTGCTTAATAATTTGACAGAAAGCATATTGTTTCTTGTAATGTTTGAGGTTCCAAAACAGCAGCACATTAGAACATGGAGGAAGCTGAGACATCTGGGGACATCTCTGTTATATATGTTAGTAATTTGGTCTGGCCCCGAAACCCATGAAAAAAAAGGCTCATTGTACATGGTAGGAAATTAGTATCCGCCCTTCTTTGTGCTTTACGATGCACATGCGTTGAGTTTCAACAGCCTTAAAACCACGGTGCATTACACATTCAAGATAGAGTTCATATTTTGGAAAGCCTCATGCTGCCTCATGCGTCATCTGCAGACCATCTTCATGGGCAAGAGAAGCCTTCGAACGTGTGACCAGATGCAACTTTAACATTGTATCACCCACCTTATGCATGACACACATTAACTTTCATAGTTTTGAGGCGATCAAACCGACTAGGTTTCAGTGAATGGGCGTGTACGCGATTTTACATTCTACATAACCGATTTAAAAATAGGGAGGTTGACAATAAGATACGAAGTAAATTGTGAAACAGGCTTTGACGACATTTGTCAACCTGAATTTGTGATTAATGGTGCACCTGATAGAAGGAGTTGCTTATGGAAATAGAGATTGTTTAAAAAGGTAAGACATCGTAATCTCCGTTCCTAAACCTTTAAATCCAGTTCGAAGGACAGACAGAAATCATTATAGCATGCTCAACAGTTCTTAAAATAAGAAACGTTTTCCTACAGCTAACCGATAACCGCTTGACCTAACTTTTGACGAGTGACTTAACAGTCTGGGATATTGCGCAAATCAAAATTTGAGAAGCTTGAAAAAAAGTAATCCAAGTAGGCATACAAGCTTTTACATGTGCCATGCAGACAATTTAATCCAGGGATGCTAAGTACTAAGGTGGTCCTACATAGCCGTCAGTCACCTGCTCACTAATATGATCGCCTGTAAGTTTCAAAGTGGGCGACCGGATTACAAATTTAGCATGAGACCTTGCCACCTCTGACCCAACTAAACTTGGGCTCCCGGAGGCGTGGCGCCTTGCAACTTCATCGCAATCCAGAAAAACTTGCCAAGTGAAATCCAAATATCCACCTCCCGAAAACGGAGAAGGTATCCTATTGGTTGAGATTTTTACTATTATCTATTTCAGCGCAAGAGATGCCATCAGACATTACCTTTGGTGAAACATGCATTCCCGTCAATTTAAACGAAAAGCAGGTCAGTTTCTTCGAAGTTTTTGTTTCAATCTTACATTCAATGGGGATTGGTGTTGAGCTGAAACCAGTTCACGCTGCAGTATGTGCCAATGAACCTATCAAACTTTTTTTTCTTAGATCTATGTGTCTTGAAACTTCTAAAGGCCCTAACTCATGGATCACGAACAGTGAGCGATGTACTAGACTTCAAGACATTCATATCTACAATAAATTTTCCTTTATCCATGTATTTAACTGCGTCATACTTACCAGGCCGATTAATATATTTGCTTAGCTGATGGTATATTGCGTCGAATTAAGCTCAATGCATTGCAGTCCGCAAATAATTGTTCATGTTCGATGAGATAATAACAGGAAACTTATACGCAGATGTCTATTTTAGACATGACAATCTATGTTACTTTGCTTACTTGTTGACATCAAAGCTTTAGTGCAACTTTTATGATGTGTTTCTCCAACAGCTCACTCATCTGATTATATGACCCAGGATTCAAATTTAGCGGGTACAACAGAAACTATTACGAGCAATGTCATGTTCTATTCATATATCATAACCTACGCGTTTTATACAGTTTGTAATATCTGTTATGAGATGTAAAAAGATATTGTGGATGAAATTCGAAACTGTCCAGTTTTTTGGAGTCGGTGGTAAGTACATTCGCATTGTTTCACCAAAGCAATAAATCGGCCACTACGCACTCGTCAGGTCGATCTACTTGGTATGATTGATCCAGAGTCCAGGCCACCCGAAAGCTCAATTATCATCACACCAATATTGATATTTTCCACCATGTATTGGGGGGCGAATTGAAGGCCAGAACAAAACAAGTATAAGATTTCAATGGTCACGACTATTTTGATTTAACGGGGTTTAAAAAGAAAGGCCGACGCAATATGTAAGTTTCTGCAGACAAAAAATTCTAGAAGCTTCATGAATCGTGTCGGCTGACGCCCCATTGCTAACTGCATCGCAAATTTCGATGGGACTAACCCCCACATCCGAAGGATATTGTACCCTTGTTCACCCGCACAAAGTCACAACCATGAGCAACGAGCTGTGTGCCATGTGATTCTGTTAATGTTCTGTACAATACCTCAATCAATGCTCCCCAACTAAACCAAGGTTGACTCATAACTTAAAGAACTTACAGGTCATAACGGAAGAACGATATAGAACACTACACCTAAACAGATTTAGAAGTTGAAACTAAAAGTACGCAAATCTGAAAATCTGGGGCATAAAGGCCCAAGTTAAGCGGGATATTGTTGATATTACAAGGTAATTTAATTCCTCGTAAAGCCTACACTCAACTACATTATTCATCAAATCTACGGAAGTCGTGGGTTGATGTACATTGTGTAATTTAGAACATTAGATGATCGATTGATATATCAACTTAGTTTGGTGACTTCAACGCTAACAAATACGCTGCGCCTTTCATTATGGCACTTCGTGTAGATCCTTGTTTGAGGTTGAAACTCTGAAGTTTAAATCGTGCAGCTCAGGCTGTTGTACATATGCATGATTCTGTAAGTGTTAGGCGTTGGGGGTGTTCATTCATCGGGTATTAATCGTTTCTTTTTTTGTATGTACAATTGTGGTGACGCAGTAATGACCAACTACTGTTGTACTTCATTCTGGGTTCGAAATAAAGTCCAGACCAAAATTTTCGAGAAGAGAACCGTTTCTATGTATTCCATTACATCCGAAACATAATCGGTTGCCTTTGGGGAGGACTGGTGTTTCAAGATATTGTTAGACCCGTGAAACCAAATGTTCCTTTCTTGTTGTTCAATTAGTAGTTAGAGCTGTGTTCCTTCTTCTAACTATTAGTATATGTAGATAGAAGATGGTACAAATTGAATATACTTAGTGGGATAAACTCTTTCTTTCTTTGAATACTTTAAAGGGGGTGTCAATAGAATATTTATTTCGACATCTGATACTTTAGATATCATACGCTTCCAAAAAAAGGCAGGTGAAGGTGAATCCTGATGGCCTAAACTCTTAGATAGTAACAGTAGTAGCAGTACACAAAGTGAGAATACTTCAGAAGTAAAATAGCGGGTTCCTTATGTATAATATTAAAGACTAATCCAAAGATCAGGCTGTTTCAGGCCTTAATTCAGTTGTAGCAATCTACGAGACGCTCTCATCTCTACCCCACCGCTAAACGACAAGTCAGTACATAAGTGCATGGGGCTCCACCAAGGGTTTTCATCTACTTCATAGATCTTAGGCCAACCTGTAAAAAGAAAGAGAAGTCCAGTAATTGATTGAGTGCTTCATTTAGCCCAAGCATCTCATAAAACTTCTGTAATTGACAGATAAAGGTTTATACGTGAATCCATAATACGACTCGGGTAAGTGGTCTATCTTTGCTGAGATTCGTTATGCGTTTATAGTCATGTTGGTATCAATCCTATTACAAGGGAAGAAATGCGGGTAGCTATACTTCATTCAAAAGCTGTATAACTCCTTTGTGCTCTTGTAATAACTAAAAGGAAACATGGGTAATGAGTAATGATATATTTCATAACTATTAATTAGTAATAATCGTTGATTTTCATAAATCTCACAAGTGGGATGAGTCTGAACATCAGAGTATAAATTGTCAAATTCCGCCTTGGACTCATATCATGCTGCCTCATGCTCATTATGCCTGAACATTATAATTTTCCAGCCTCATCTTCCTGACAGGTGGGCCATATATACTGACAAGTACTTTATGTTTTGCAAACAAGCACCAGCAAGTAAGATGATATTGAGATGTTTATAACAATCTCGCGATCTCAACAAGCTGTTCCTGTACTGACATTACTTCGAAAACACAAACATCAAGGCCTGGCTTTACGAGCGACCTGGTACTACATATGCTCCTGCAGAGATACTATCCACATAATGTTGTGTTCTCGAGATTTCTACAGGTATATATCAAACAAATACGTTAATTACGACTTACGTATTATTGGACGCTAGATATACCTATAGTGTTATCACTAGTAAAGGAGAGCTCTGTGGTGACGTATGCAACTGAAAATCATCATTGAAAACTAGCACGCAGGGACGTTACTGAACACATATACTAGTTACAGGATATATATACATCTTTGAACATTACGCAATAAATCACTTGATTCACACCAGTGCTTATTCTGCAGTTGAACTACACTGAACACGTATATGGGGTATTATTATACAGGATTATAACTAAGAAAATTTTAAACACGAAGAGCGTCATCGATACGCAGTTCATGCTGATACTAACAGGGCTCCGAAAATCAAAGGATGAGCAGGCCAAAGATCAAACCACAAATGGTGGAACCAGCAAGCTTAGCAGCTGAACCCTCAAAAGTAGTTACAGCTGGTGTAGATGTGGTTTCTCCAGCACCAACTGTGGTTTCAGCAGAGGCCTCAACAGAAGTTTCCTCTGTAATTTCTTTACTCTTAGTTTCAGTTGCCGATTGTTCACTTGTAGTTTCTGTGATGACCTCATCCTTATTGGTTTTAGTTGAGACCTGTCCACCTTCAGTCTCTGTTGTCGTTGGGCAATAGGTTGTGAACGTAATTTGTTCACCTTCAAGTCCTGTGGTTGTCAAGGTAATAACGCCGGTAGTTGTTGAGATGACAGTGCATTGATCCTTCTCACAAGATGTCACAGTTATCACAGTGGCATGGATCTCGTCCTCTGTTGTGATAGGACAATAAGTGGTATAGGATGTAACAATTCCAGATGATGTTTCAGTGATAACTGTAACACCAGTGGTGACTGCCGTAGTTGCACAGATATCATCACTACATGAAGTAATCGTGACAACAGTGGTTGAGTTGACCTCCTCAGTAGTTGTGGATGTAAGTTCAGTGAGAGATTCAGCAGATTCCTCAGATGTTGTTGCAGATGTTGCCTCAGTAGATTCCTCAGTAGACTCCTCAGATGTTTCCTCGGTAGATTCCTCAGAGGATTCCTCAGATGTTGTTGCAGATGTTGTTGCAGATGTTTCCTCAGTAGATTCCTCAGTAGATTCCTCAGTAGACTCCTGAGATGTTTCCTCAGATGCTTCCTCAGATGTTTCCTCAGATGTTTCCTCGGTGGAAGCAGAAGAAGAAAAATCAGAAGAGTCATCAGCAGTGATAGTAGAGGTCAAATCATAAGTTATAATCTCTCTCTTGATAAGCTTTGCACTGGTGCTAGTGATTGTGACATGCACAGAAGAAGTCCAAGAAGAGCCTGATATGATCTGACCACCATATGTGACAGTCAATTCATCGTCCTCGCCTATGGCTGCGTCGTACACAACAGTGATAGAAGTTGAATTGATTGTAATTTGAGCTTCGTCAGTTTGTTTGCCATTGAGGTAAACAACAGCATGGGTGTACTCAAATTGGCCAACAGAACCTTCACCAGAAATGTCCAGCTCAATTGAAGTCCATGGACCAAGATATCCTGGGATAGTAAGAGACCACTCTGGAGTTCCAGAGCTAAGAGTTCCAACAAACTGGGGTTCTGAAGTAGCAGATACAAAAGTAGAGACGGAAGCAGATACAGAGGTAATAGCAGTCGAGCTCTTAGAAACAGATTCGGCGGTGGAGATAAGGCTCGAAGAGGAAACTGATGTTTCAGAACTGACAGGCTCCTCAGACGAAGTTGAATGTAAGGAAACGGTCTTCACAGTGTAATCAGCAGCGAGAGTAGTTGTTTCTCCAATTGTAGAGGAAGATGACTTCTTTGGAGCGGACTTCACAGCGTAATCAGGAAGACCTAAGTTGGTAGTTAGAGACTCAGATGTCGTCTTAACAGTGTAGTCTGCTGCAAGAGTAGTGGTTTCACCAGTAGCAGAAGTCGTTCTCACAGTGTAATCAGCAGCGAGAGTAGTTGTTTTACTAGCAGTCTTTACTGCATATGCTGGTGCACCCAGAGAAGTAACCTCTGATACCGAAGAGGAACTTGACTCTCCAACAGTAGACTTGACAGTATATGCTGGTGCTAAGGAGGTGGTTCCCTTTGAAACGGTTCTTACGGTGTACGCTGGCTTATCAACAGTTGTTGTCTTCATCGTCTGTTCTGGAGCAGCGTTAGTGACCAGACAGTTTCCCTCATCTATACAGTTCTCAACTGTTGTGGTTGGTGCCGTCGAACATGAAAGCGTACCTGTTGGTTCAGTTGGCAAGTCACACGCAGCCAAAGCAGATGAAGCATATGGTCCGTAGTTGTTCCATAGAGTCCAACCACAGTCGAGACATTTAGCATAGTATCTCATCAAATTGGAGTTTGAAGAGCACAGACAGTCTGTGTCATATGGGCCAGCGTATGGGTTGGTCGTGTTAGATGTACACTGTGTACCACCGATGATCATCAAATTACAGTAGGTACGACAAAGGGAGCTGGCACAGGTGCCCTCGTCTGAGATGGCCATTGCGAAAGCATCAGCATCAGCATCTGGAAGACCCAAAGGTGCTGGAGCAGCTATTGCACCAGATAACAGAATTGCACTACTTATGAAGCGAGTGGAAAGCAGCATCTTATGACCTCAATTAGAAACAGCAAACAGCACGGCGAATTGAGGTGTCTATGAAAGGGATATCAAGACGGATATCCATGGACTTATTTATATTCTTATGCCATTAATCAAGACGTATCCGGAAGGCTTTCAAGAACCGACGTGTGACATCGTACTTAACCAGCCTTTCTTCTTATTGATTTACGAATGGCCCATAATACTCGGATATGTAAGTTCTTCATAAATGTTTAATACAGAAAGGTATGTAGTATGCACTGGGTGCATTCGAGGCGCTCGGCTCAGTACCATGTTCGTTCGAGAATTCGCCCCATTGGGTAGGATTCTTCTGGTTAGACAAAGGACGCCTCATGTATTGGTTGAGTTATTTGTGCACTGCATAAACCCCCTTTTTGTTTGTTTTTTACCAATATTGGTAATTCTTGAAATATTTTGTAGCCTTAATTCCAAAGGTTACTGTAGTAATGAATCTCGAAAAATTTTTAAAGTTTGAGCGCACACATAACTGTTAACATTGTGTGTTGTTTCCACAGAATGCGAATGTTGTCCCATATCTTATTATTGTCTCTACTTAAAGGTAATCATAACATCATGCTTGACAAATTCACACAGATTGACGGATCTCCCTTTTACATCTTCCAGTTGCCATCGGAACTATCTTGTAGGTTTCGTTAAAGGAAAACCGGTAGATTGAGCATGAAGACAAAAAAATTTACCAACCGTGCAGTGAGGCGTGCCCTAAGGCGGCATTATGCGTCCTTCAAAAGAGTAAAATCATTGTGAAAGCATCCGAAGTTCGATTTAATTGATCAGGCACAGAGGGCTGTTTTCTTGTAAATTATAACGTACGTGCATTAAAACACAGCTGGAAGTTGGGAATTTGAGCAAGTTGAGCGCTTATGCCGTTCTATACACAATGCACATAACAACAAGAGCATGAGCAAAGATCTGCGTAGGGTAAGCAGTGCTGGATGGACGTTCATGTAAAACCACTCTGCATTGTCGAGAGGAATTGAACAAGAATGGTGAAAAATGTCTCAAGCTCTAATGCAACTGACTTGTCAAAGACTCACCTCTCATGGGCTGTCCAATCTTTGCTAGACTTGCTTTCTTATCTTGCCTAGAGTTGATCCGATTTGTCAAGTCATGACAGGTTAGGCGAAGCTATTCACTATGTTTAGAAACTTGTGGATGTTCACTTATGAGCTTTGTGTTCAATGTTCACACTTTACCTATCGATACGTATGTAGGACCTGCTGTGTATATATGGTATCATTCTTCATGAGTGTAACTTATCGATTCGCAAGTGCTGGATTCTGCACATATGAAACGGTTGGAATTTGTAACTTTACATACCACATATTCCATGTGTATTGAGTATGCATTAACAACCGGTCCACTTGCAGGTTACAACATGTAAATTGTGAATGTAATTTCTGGAATATGCTTCAGCTACAAATCTCTACTAATTACATGTCACTGTCGTCACCTCCATAAAGATCTATTAAGAGCTTACTTACAAGCCAATTCTCGCTAGAAAATGTCCCGAAAGCGATAATAGTTTACTGGTTTCCTAACCGACGACAGCTTTCAGTATTGAGTTGATTGGCGCGTTTTCCAAAGAGCAAAAAAAATTTAACGTTTTAAATGGGGCTGACACCATTTCGCCGTTAAAGTACTTTGCCCTAGCACATATACAAGTATTTATTTGATCATAAGATTTTAAACCATGAACTATGTCGATCTTTTGTTCCTCAGTTTAGAATAACTTTCGTTGTTTAGTGTGATTTTCACGCCATAAAGACAATCACCAGTGCCTCCTTTAATGACAAGAGTTCATGAAAATTTTTGCTGGGAATGGAATGAGCACCATACAACATGCCTGATGTGATGATATCTGGGGCTGTTTGATGTTCATCGTTGATTGCTTCAGCTTTTTATTGGATGAGCAGCTTGGGGCACATTTCGGACCAAATTCAAGCATACTGGTGTCTGGATGTTTTATCATACCTTGCCGATCTCGTGGGCGAACCGGTTGTAATATAGTAGAATATAGCTGTTACTTATGAATATGTATTCACACTCCATACTCGTGTAAAATCACCAGGCATTTCCCAGGTAACCTAGTTTGAGGAGTCACATCAGGCTAATATAAACCAGATTTACATATATGTGCCAACATTTAGGAAGCAGGAGGATAAATAGTGAAAGATAGAGGGGATAGGAACTGAGCTCACTGAGATAGAGGGGATAGGAACTGAGCTCACTGAGATAGAGTAGTCAATATCTACGGGTTGTAATAATATTGATCTTCTCGTCAATCATAGTGCAAAACACAATAGATGTTGTAATGATAATCAGCCAATAGATGCATAGTGTAGTACCAATTCATTCTGCATTTTGGGGCAATCTTGCAAATCCTGAATTGCACTGCGACAAGAACGTTGTCACACGAGAAATTCAGAAGACGCTATCAATTGAAACCTCATCTAACTAGCATTCCAAAGAAAATGGCTCATGAGGTATTATATTTGACCCACAGTACTGGTATTTAGAATTTTTGTTCTCAGATGCAAAACAGATAAGACCTTAGGATATATCTAGCCTGTCGTAATGACAAGAGCCAAGTAGATCAATAACGTACGATTTTCTCTCGTTGCACAATCACCATTCAGTCAATAAAAGTTTGAATAGATGGGCTGATGATCGGTGTGTCAGGATCTCTTTGTCACAATTGATAATTTATGGTCCCTTAGCGAGAACGTGTGGCACAAACTTGCCATTACTCAAGACTTTTATCTCAGAGGTTTTACTACAAACGCGAATCTATATATCGGTTACCTCGGGGTCGTTCTTTCATGTGCTGCTTAAAGACAAAGGATTCTTCATGATCCTTTCCCAGAGTGCTTCTGCTGAAGAGATTAGAATTCAGCAATTTGCAAGCTGTCATTCACAAGGGCTGGTTTGTTATAAGAAGTATTCCTCAATACACCATTTTGTTGCTAGTTGAAAGTCCCAATCTCTTTTCTGGACGTAACTTTGCAATTCAAATTAGTTCCAGTCAAAGATGACAATTAGAACAATGATTTACATAGCCGTTGAAACCATGCCAGAACATCTGTATGTTTCAGGTGTGGGAAATTGCATGTATATGCTGTAATTTGCTTGTAGGTATTCAGATCTTGCAAAGGGAGAGAGAATATTGAAGATCCCATAACTCAAGGCTGGTAAGGCGTGGTTCTAACTTTCACATTTACCACGCCTTGACCGACAAACTTTCAACTGCCTTTGGTTGTTCATGCAGCAGGCATGTACGTAATCTGTCATAAGCCGCAGGACTGTATACATTTCGAGATAAACAATCTTACAGTACGCAGGTGTCAGGATAAAAATGATTAATTTCATGATATATACAGTACAGTGTCCACACAGAAGTCTGTAAGTTCTTTTAATTAACGCTTCATTTCCATTTTGATGTCTCAAGTGTTAAATCAAAATTATATCGCTAGACAATGAAGTGTAGTCTTCTTAGATAACCTTCCATATGAAGATTGGAGAACATGGTAATTGCTTTCGGTTGTGACCGTCGAGTTTTGGAAACTATCTTTCCTTTCATAAAGATACTATTCAGTCTTTAAGATTGGCAAATCCGGAAATATATAAGATCATGATGAAATGTACTATCACTGTTATGACAATTGACTACATGGTGATCTTGAAAAGTTCAAGGGTATAAAAATTGTTTATAACTTTATAAAATACAAACTGTACACGATGACGAGGATAATTTTTACGAGCCCTTTGGAACAATGCAATTATCTTCAAAGCAAATCAGATGAAGAGGAATCCAAGGAGTAGTCCTACCAAGGTGGAACCAGCCATCTTGGATGCAGAACCTTCGAATAATGTTATCGAAGGCGTGCTTGAAGTGGAGCCCTCAATATCTACTGTTCCTTGAGAAGTTGGTTGTGTCTCAACCTGGGTAGTCAGCTGACCTTCAGCAGCAGTCTCAGAGATAACTGGTTGAGTAACGGTTTCATCAACAGCCCCAACAGACTCAACATCAGTAGATTCGCCCAGTGTGGTCGTCTCGGCCTCTTCTGTTTCAATTGAAACATATGTCGTGTAAGTAACGGTCTCACCTTCGAGTCCTGTGGTTGTAGCAACAGAAAAACCTGTGGTTGTAGATAGCAATGTACACTCTTCTTCATCACAAGAAGTGATTGTGAGAACAGTAGTGGAAACCTCATCACTGGTTACTGGACAGTATGTGGTGTATGATGTAACAGAACCGGAAACTGTCTCAGTAACAACAGTAATGCCCGTTGCAGCAGTTGTAGTTGAGCAAATGTCATCGCTGCAGGAAGTAATTGTAATGATCGTGGTCGACTGAATCTCCTCTGTTATTGTTGAAGTGGTGTCAGTCAATATCTCAGAAGCTCCAGAAGAAGAAGCATCAGTAGAAATGTCAGAAGAAATAGTTAAAGGGACATCAGAAGAAGAGTCAGATGTCTCTGGAATTTCGGAAATATCAGAAGAATATATCTCAGTAGAAGTCTCAGAAGAAGAAATCTCCGTAGAAATTTCAGATGTCTCAGATGAAGAAGTCTCGGAAGAAACTTCAGATGTCTCAGAAGAAATCTCAGATGTCTCAGAAGATGCTTCGGAAGAAACATCGGAAGAGTCATCAGCAGTGATAGTAGAGGTCAAATCATAAGTTATAACCTCTCTCTTGACAAGCTTTGCACTAGTGCTAGTGATTGTGACATGTGCAGAGGAAGTCCAAGAGGAACCAGATATGATCTGACCACCATATGTGACAGTCAATTCATCGTCCTCCCCGATGGCTGCGTCGTAGATAACAGTGATAGAAGTTGAAGTGATTGTAATTTGAGCTTCGTCAGTTTGTTTGCCATTGAGGTAAACAACAGCATGGGTGTACTCAAATTGGCCAACAGAACCTTCACCGGAAATGTCCAGCTCAATTGAAGTCCATGGACCAAGGTATCCTGGGATAGTAAGAGACCACTCTGGAGTACCAGAATCAAGAGTTCCGACGAAAGTTGGCTCAACACTTGAAACAGAAATAGTTGAAACTGCACTAGAACTTGAAGCACTTGAAGTAGAACTTGAAGCACTTGAAGTAGAACTTGAAGCACTTGAAGTAGTCTCGATATCAGAAGAAGGTACTGCCAAGTTTGTGGTTTTAACGGTGTAAGCTGCTGCAAGCGTAGTGGTGGATCCTGAAGGAGCAGATGTCGACTTTGAAACAGTCTTAACAGCATACGCTGGTGCTCCAAGGTTGGTAGTCAAAGAGGCAGAAGTCGACTCCACTGTATAGTCTGCTGCAAGAGTGGTTGTACCGGAAGACG